TGTTGGGGGAGATTCCTGATGATCTCTTCAACTGTTCAATGCTTGAAGTTCTAGATCTGAGTGGTAATAATTTTAGCGGGAAACTCAAACCGATGATTGGCAGACTCTCTAAACTTCGAGTTCTAAGAGCCCATAGTAATTCATTTCTTGGGCCAATCCCACCAGAGATTGGTAAACTGAGTCAACTGATAGATTTAGTGCTTCACAAAAACAGTTTCTCAGGTGTGATACCACCAGAAGTTTCAAAGCTTTCAAACCTCCAGGGCCTTTCTCTGTCAGACAATAAGCTGGAAGGTGAACTTCCTGTGCAACTTTTTGAGCTTACACGCCTCTATGAACTCCTGCTGCAGAACAATAATTTCTTCGGTCCAATCCCCAATCAGATATCCAAATTAGAATCACTTTCACTCCTGGACCTGAGTGGAAACAAGCTTAACGGTACAATCCCAGAGAGCATGGTGAGCCTCCGCAGACTGACGACCTTAGATGTTTCACACAACCTTCTAACCGGAACTCTTTCCAGAGCAGTACTTGCCAGCATGAGAAGTATGCAATTTTACTTGAACGTTTCCAGCAACTTGTTGGATGGAGAGATCCCATATGAGATTGGCATATTAGAAATGGTTCAAGGGATTGATATGTCAAACAACAATCTATCAGGCAACATTCCCAGATCCCTAGGACTCTGCAAAAACTTAGTCTCACTGGACCTATCAGGAAACATGCTGTCTGGTCCTGCTCCAGGCGAAACTCTGACCAAATTAAGTGAACTAGTATTCTTGAACCTCTCAAGGAACAGATTAGAAGGCAAACTTCCTGACATGGAAGGATTGCCACATCTTCGCTCACTTGATCTTTCACAAAACAAGTTCAAGGGAATCATTCCTGAGAGATTTGCCAATATGCCTGCATTAATATATCTCAACCTTTCTTTTAACCAGCTTGAAGGTCACATTCCAAAGGGGGGTGTATTCGACAACTTAAGGTCAGCAGATTTACAGGGAAATCCATCTCTATGTGGAACAGAGTTTCTCAGTCCATGCAGCATCAAAAGAAACCAAACAAGTTCTCATGGGTTTTCCAAGAAAACCTGGATCATACTTGGGCCTGTTTTGGTTCTCATTCTTCATGTGGTGGGAATATTTTTGTGTCATCTGTACATGAAGAAGCAAAAAGTGAAAGACACGGAGGATATAATTCCAAATTATACCTCAGCACTTAGCCTCCAGAGATTTTATCAAAAGGATTTGGAACATGCTACTGATAATTTCAGTCCACAAAACATTATTGGAGCCAGCAGTTTAAGTAATGTGTACAAAGGAACACTGGAAGGTGGGAAGATTGTAGCAGTTAAGAAACTGAATCTCCAGTTCTCAGCAGAAATTCGTAAATGCTTTGATAGGGAGGTCAAGACTCTGAGCCAACTCAAACACAGGAACCTGGTTAAGGTGCTCGGTTATGCTTGGGAAAGCAAGAAGCTAATGGCTGTAATTTTAGAATACATGGAGAATGGGAACTTGGACAGTTTTATTCATGGTCAAATGGCAGATGAATGGACATTGTCCAATAGGATTGACATTTTAGTTTCAGTAGCAAGTGGGCTGTCATACCTGCATTCAGGATATGATTTTCCAATAGTGCACTGTGACTTGAAGCCTTCAAATATTCTTTTGGATAAAAATATGGAAGCACATGTGAGTGACTTTGGGACAGCTAGGATGTTGGGTATTCATCACCAAGACGGGAGCAGCATATCATCAGCATCCACATTTGAAGGAACTATTGGTTACATGGCACCAGGTAATAATTATTACAACATCACTTCTGTAAATCACAATACACAGCTTAGCAGATTTTCTTTTACCGTCAATCACAAAATAATGATTAATTTGTATGTGGAAGAATGGACAAGCATTTAAGTGATCCAATGTTTTGAACATATAATCTGAAAAGTATTTTTTTAATGATAATACCAACTATAGTCTAACCAGAAAATGCTAGTGTCAGCTTTAGAATTTTGAATTTCTTGAACATTTTACATGCTCCTTATTTAATTTGAGACCTAACTTAAATGAAATGTTTTTCTATGAAACAGAGTTTGCATATATGAGGAAAGTGACCACAAAAGTAGATGTATTCAGTTTTGGTGTAATTGTGATGGAGATCATTACAAAAAGAAGGCCAACAAGTCTAACAGGTGCAGATAAATTACCAATGACTTTGCATCAAGTTGTTCAGAATGCCCTTGCGAATGGCATAAGCAAGCTGGTCCAGATTGTGGATCCTAATTTAGCTTCACATGTCTCCAAGAACCAGGAGATAGTAGAGGGACTTCTTAACTTGGCTTTATCCTGCACCTCTCCGAATCCTGAAGATAGACCTGACATGGAACAAGTTCTGTCTTCTCTTTCAAAGCTAAGTAAGATGGAGAGCATGCATTCACACGCTTGTTTGGTATCATCATTCTTATTATGAACCACCACCAAGTTTCCCTCGGTGGCCAATGGAACTAGTCCACAACTGAAAATGTAATTACAATTTAAATAGAACTTACGTTTTTCAATCCATAATGATCTTTCAGGTATTCCTGCTTTACTAGAGGGTTATAGTTGAACTCTCACATTAGATTAAGTTAAAGTTGACTTGCATCATGAAATTGAAGAACTCTGTACATTAATTACAACTAAGGAACAAAAAGCTAGATCTTTACGAAGTACTCCAGTGATGTGTAATAGTCAGCGAGCAGTTGATTGCTAGACTAAAGTGCCAATGCATTCTGTTACTAGAGATTGCCTACAGGAAATGAGTACACTTTTGAACACGAATATATAGAAGTGAAATTGAGGAGAACTCAAAAAGAGGCCTTAATAAGACTACAATGATACATCATATTTTACCTTAAAATATGCATTTTAGAAATTTATTTACTATGCAAGAACTCATCAATGTTAGAGGGAAACTCAAAGCTTCCAAAACCATCAAAAACCTCCTAAGGAATAAGAGCAGCTTTGCCTAAAGGCAGATGAGCTAACCTAAATGATTCTCTTCGCTCTCCAGTACCCCTATCCAGAAAATGCTCAATCCAACCTTCTAATCTCTCCACTTCTTCTTCACTTTTTGCCCCCTTAACCCCAACAATCTTTCCATAAATGCATCATCACAGCCCAAATCCACTTCCACCCTTTTGGATCCTTCCCTTTTACCCTCCGATAAACACAATAGCTGCATCATCAGTTCAATCTCATCAACCCCATTACCACTAGCTTCAACTATACCAACACTTTCTTCGGCAAGTGAGGAATTAGAGAGAAATTGAAGTGGGGTTTTACTTTCTTTAAGGTTTGTGTATCTGGTGATGGAGTCAGCAGGGTTCTCATCACAGTTGAGGTATAATGGGCTGATCAAAGACTGGTCGATGTCTCAACGGCTTCTTGTTGAGATGGGTCGTCAAGTTTCAATCTTTTCTCCAATTGTTTGAGAGATGAGAAGAAATTGGAATATGGAGAAGGTCTTTGCATTATTTTTTTGGTGAATCAGAACTTGAATTGGGTTTTTAGTTATGGAAGGTTGAAGAATGGAAAGGAAAAAAGAGCGCCAACTGCTGCAAAGGACAATTTAATCACTTTTGTTTGAAATTTTAGGCCGATTTGGGATTTCTGGGTATGTTAGTTAAGGTATTTTCTGAATTAATCCATATTCTCAATGTTTAAAGAGCTTTGATATCCAGGGTCAGATCCAGAGGTTCAGGTACAGGTTTACGAGAACCAAATAACTTTTGCTTATATTCTGTATGTGTTAAAAATCTGATTGTGAATAGAATTATCATTGATTTAAAAGGTTCTAGGATGACCATTCAATACAAGTGACTTCCCTTGTGCATGTTTATAGCTTGGATCATATAGTTGCTAATAAGAGTTTCCGAAAAATGGAACAGGGAGAAAACATAGCTACTGAAGTTTTGTGGAAAGTGTATTCATTTGTTTGCGTGAAACCATGCAGTACAAATGCTGATAAGAGTAAAAATATATTCAGAAAGGAGAAAAAGGAATGTATAATATAGCCACATAGGTATAACATTGAGGATATAGACAAATGATTTCTCACATGATCACTCATTTAATATGATAGCCATTATCTCATAAAGTCACCTTATTCTTGATTCTAATTTGTTTTTAACAAGAGTGACTTCTGAGATAATAACTATTAGTTGAGTGACACTTTGAAGAAAACCAAATTGCAGTATAATTATCTGTTGTTCAACTGGTGGATCACAATTTGATAGCATTAGCATTTTCTGCTCATTTGGCAAATTAAAGTCCAATACCAATAACCACGACTCTGTTTCATTTAGATACATTATGCTTTGAAAAATCTAGTCCGAATTTAGATTTTTCCCAATCAGGAGTTGGCATGTATGGTGGTGGATTTTTGAAACATTTACTTGGCCAGAATATATTGTATAAAGCACTGTTATAGTTCACATGTGTCTGTTTGCCTAGGCGTAGGACCACTTGTATGAGTGGTTGAGAATATGCCTGCTACTAGAAAAATAGAAATTAGTAATGGACAAATTTCGTAGTTAAACGACAAGTGAGCAATTTAACGATGAAGTTCATAACTAGTAGAAGTTTTTTTTTTATAGAACGATGAAAATGAACTAACGTAACGGTTCATTTTTCCCCTTATTCCTTTCTATTTTACACAGAGAAGGGATTTAGGCTGTAGTTACTTCAAAATGCCTGTAATAGTGGTGTTCTTTTACCCTGCTGTAAGAAAAATATATAAAGAATGTCCTAATGGAAAAAAGTAGAAGATATTTTAATGTAAGCTCAATAACCAAGATAGAGAGAAATCTTTGTAGCCACACAACATTGGTTGGTCCCCTAAGTAAAAATCTTGGAAGATTTTTGGATTTGTGATTGCCAAGTGTGAATGGAGAGTAATCTTGACATCCAATGAGATCATAGATATAGATATCACTAGATAAGGACTCTTCCCTATCTTACTTACTATATATAGTGAAGTTTCAATAACTTCAGCTCATCACAACTAACTTTTACATATCAAACTAGCAACCCCCTCACTTTCCTCTCTTTACAAACCATGGCAGCTGCTACAATGGCTCTTTCTTCCCCTTCTTTTGCTGGACAGGCAGTGAAACTCTCACCATCTGCCTCAGAAATCAGTGGAAATGGAAGGATCACTATGAGAAAGGCTGTCGCCAAGTCTGCCCCATCTAGCAGCCCATGGTATGGCCCAAACCGTGTTAAGTACTTGGGCCCATTCTCTGGTGAGTCCCCAAGCTACTTGACTGGTGAATTCCCTGGTGACTACGGGTGGGATACCGCTGGACTTTCAGCAGACCCTGAAACCTTTGCCAAGAACCGTGAACTTGAGGTGATCCACTGCAGATGGGCAATGCTTGGTGCTCTTGGATGTGTCTTCCCTGAGCTATTGGCCCGTAACGGTGTCAAGTTCGGTGAGGCTGTGTGGTTCAAGGCCGGATCCCAGATCTTCAGCGAGGGTGGACTTGACTACTTGGGCAACCCAAGTTTGGTCCATGCACAGAGCATCTTGGCCATCTGGGCTTGCCAAGTTGTGTTGATGGGAGCCGTTGAAGGTTACCGTATTGCTGGTGGACCTCTTGGTGAGGTTGTCGACCCACTCTACCCTGGTGGCAGCTTCGACCCATTGGGTCTTGCTGAAGACCCAGAGGCATTTGCTGAGCTCAAGGTAAAGGAGATTAAGAACGGCAGACTTGCTATGTTCTCTATGTTTGGATTCTTCGTTCAGGCCATTGTTACCGGAAAGGGTCCATTGGAGAACCTTGCTGACCACCTTGCAGACCCTGTTAACAACAACGCTTGGGCTTTCGCCACAAACTTTGTCCCCGGAAAATGAATATCATAATATATTTTTTTAATTTTGATTGTTCGATGGCCCTGTAAAGTAGTTGTGACTTACTTGATAATAGAATGGTTCTTTTTTCCATATTCCAATGATTGTGTAGTTCTGAGTTACATTTTCCAAATCTACGAATCAAATATTGCCACTTCCATACCAAGGGGAAATTAAAGAAAGAGAACAGAGCAAAAAGATTGAAGATATATATGAGATGTGGTAACAAGAAAAACTATAAAGCTGTTGTAAGCTTAAACCTTGAATTTTCAGACCAGATGAACTTATGGAATTCAGTTAATTCTCGAGAAACAATACTCAAAATTAGTGTAAAGTACTAATGTTGAACAACATGATGTTATTACATGATTTCTCATTTATCTGTCGAAAAGTGAGAGGAAATAAGAGGACATTGTTTCATTTCACTACCAGAACATTGAAATTTCAATGACAGGGGAAGAAAACCAATATGTTTTGTAGTCTGAATGTAGTAAGTAATATATGAGTTTCCAGGTCCATACAGTATGTCTCCTTTGAACAAATTCATAAATTTCTTGTAAAATCCTCCTGCCTCACATGTGGTACTATCTTTAGATTAAAAGCATCCTTGACAGATCCTTCAAAAGAAGGTACATAGTAATGACCAGAGCCAAAGGACATACATATGTAGTTAGAAGAAGACACAAGTACTGCTAAATATGACACTTATTGGCAACAAATTCAAGTTCTATGCACTAATAACGTAAACAATATTTACACAATCAAATTACTTAGTAAGTAATTAAAGGTAAATCACTTGATAACATTAATCGGTAGTCTGGTAAAAAATGGGAATTGACCTACTATCACACGTTAAAATTTACTGATGTAACTTCTATTTCCCTTAACGCAGCACAAAATTGTGATGCAGATGAATTCCAACAAATTAAAATCTTTGCTCATATTCTTCTGAACAAGCTCTTTCGAAGGCTCAGCATTGCTCATGTAGTAGTTAAGTAACATGTACTAAGCCGCATTAAATCTCTAAACCTAACAGTATTGTGAATGAGCATAAAACAATATAACCTGTGTGGCTAACATAAACAACTTTGGTAATTAAGGTCTAATATAATAAAGTTTCAATCACATTGCTTTCCAAACATAAAGATGCATTATTAAGTTCCTAAAATTTATGAATCAAGTAGTAATAAATTTCAACTTTTCCTCAAATTTCCTAAACCATAGTTCTACATTGAATGAAGTATAGTGGTGGTATGTTTTACCCTGCAGGTAGATAAAATCTAGAGAAATGCCAAGTGGATAATGATAGGGATATCATATTGTAAGCTCAACAAATCACAGGGCAGATTCCAATCCTTGTGGCAACATATGAGAGGACAATATTGGTTGTGTCCCTTGCTGGAAAATTGATGGATTGGAGATTGCTAAATGTGCATAATTGCTACAAGTAGGATCTTGATAGCCAATGAGATCATAGATATAGATTTCACTAGATAAGGACTCTTTCCCTCTTTCTTAATCCCTATATATGGTGAATTAATTCCCTTGTAACTTCATCTCATCACAGCCTTCAACAATATTTCATACCATCAAACACTCAACACTTTTCTCTTAATCTAACTCATGGCAGCTGCTACAATGGCTCTTTCTTCCCCTTCTTTTGCTGGACAGGCAGTGAAACTTTCACCATCTGCCTCAGAAATTTCTGGAAATGGAAGGATCACTATGAGAAAGGCTGTCGCCAAGTCTGCCCCATCTAGCAGCCCATGGTATGGCCCTGACCGTGTTAAGTACTTGGGCCCATTCTCTGGTGAGTCCCCAAGCTACTTGACTGGCGAATTCCCTGGTGACTATGGATGGGATACCGCTGGACTTTCAGCAGACCCTGAAACCTTTGCCAAGAACCGTGAACTTGAGGTGATCCACTGCAGATGGGCAATGCTTGGTGCTCTTGGATGTGTCTTCCCTGAGCTATTGTCCCGTAACGGTGTCAAGTTCGGTGAGGCTGTGTGGTTCAAGGCCGGATCCCAGATCTTCAGCGAGGGTGGACTTGACTACTTGGGCAACCCAAGCTTGGTCCATGCACAAAGCATCTTGGCCATTTGGGCTTGCCAAGTTGTGTTAATGGGAGCTGTTGAGGGATACCGTATTGCAGGTGGACCTCTTGGTGAGGTCGTCGACCCACTCTACCCTGGTGGCAGTTTTGACCCATTAGGTCTTGCTGATGATCCAGAGGCATTTGCTGAGCTCAAAGTAAAGGAGATTAAGAACGGCAGACTTGCTATGTTCTCTATGTTTGGATTCTTCGTTCAAGCCATTGTTACCGGAAAGGGTCCATTGGAGAATCTTGCTGACCACCTTGCAGATCCAGTTAACAACAATGCATGGGCCTTTGCCACAAACTTTGTTCCTGGAAAATGAATATCATAAAACGTTCTCTAGATATTATTGTTTGATGGCTTTGTAAAGTTTTAGTTGTGAGTTTACTTGACAATAGAATGGATTTTTCTTAGTCCTCAATTTCATTTTCCAATGATGAATGAAATACTGCAAAATTCATATTGAAGGGGAAAATTGATGACAAAGCAAAAATAACAAGACCAAAGTTACATTTGAGATGTGGTAAAAGCTTAAACCTGAATATACAGACCAGAGACTTATGGAATTCAATTAATTCTCAAGAAGAAATACTCTAACTTAGAGCCAATAATAACATTGAACAACATGATGTTATTTACTTTCATGATTCTTTATTTTTCTGTCAAGAAGTGAAAGAGGAATTAATGGAAAACCAATGTACAATATGCTTTATAATCTGAACGTAGCAAGTTATTATATGAGTTTCCAGGTCATTATACTTGTGTGTTTTTAATTTGAACACATTCATGAAGTTCTTGTATTTTCCTCCTTCCTTAATTGGCACATAGCAATGACCAGAGCCAAAGGGACATAATAAGCAGAAGATACAAGTTAACTGTACATGCATGACACTTATTAGAGAGGAAATTAAGTTCTCGCTGACATTGTAAAAAATACTTATACAATTATATCATTTATTAACTGGGGCAGAGGTAGGCTTCAGCGATGAATGAAATGTCCCACATCGGTGAATGAATGACCTCTTTATAAGTGTTGGGCAATTCTCTTCCCTTTGAGATAACTTTTGAGGTTCAGTTAGGCACAAGATTCATTTCTTTACATCCAACATACCCGGTTTGACAAAACCAAGTAGCTGGTCCAACCCCAACGCATGCATATGTGTTAAGAAGGTTATTAAATATGTAGAACAACTAAATTTAGAATCAATTAGCATTTAAGGTCGTCTTTCTAGATTCCAGAACTCATAAAGTTCAAATCTTGATCAATCTTTGCTTATCAAGTATTTACAGGTTTGTCTTTTGATAAACATTACCTGATAATCTGAAAAAAATGATTTTTTTTGTCAATTTATTTAGTGAAAGGCTAAACCATAGTTCTACATTGAATGAGCTACAGTGCTGATAGATAAAATCTGGAGAAATTCCCAATGGATAATGATAAGAGATATCAGTATTGTAAGCTCAACAAATCAGAGGGTAGAGTTCAATCCTTGTAGCCATACGTAGGAGGACAATATTGAATGGGTCCCTTTAGTAAACATCTTAGAAAATTGGAAGGATTGGAGATTGCCAAGTGTGCATTAATTGGAACACATGGGATCTTGATATCCAATGAGATCATAGATATAGATATCACTAGATAATTAGGACTCTTTTTCCCTCTTAATTACTCCTTATATATGGTGAATTAATTCCCTTGTAACTTCATCTCATCACAGCCAACTTCAACAATATTTCATACCATCAAACACTTACTTTTCTCTTGATATAAACACCATGGCAGCTGCTACAATGGCTCTTTCTTCCCCTTCTTTTGCTGGACAAGCAGTGAAACTCTCACCATCTGCCTCAGAAATCACTGGAAATGGAAGGATCACTATGAGAAAGGCTGTCGCCAAGTCTGCCCCATCTAGCAGCCCATGGTATGGCCCTGACCGTGTTAAGTACTTGGGCCCATTCTCTGGTGAGTCTCCAAGCTACTTGACCGGTGAATTCCCTGGTGACTATGGCTGGGATACTGCTGGACTTTCAGCAGACCCTGAAACCTTTGCCAAGAACCGTGAACTAGAGGTGATCCACTGCAGATGGGCTATGCTTGGTGCTCTTGGATGTGTCTTCCCTGAGCTATTGGCCCGTAACGGTGTCAAGTTCGGTGAGGCTGTGTGGTTCAAGACCGGATCCCAGATCTTCAGCGAGGGTGGACTTGACTACTTGGGCAACCCAAGTTTGGTCCATGCACAAAGCATCTTGGCCATCTGGGCTTGCCAAGTTGTGTTGATGGGAGCCGTTGAAGGTTACCGTATTGCTGGTGGACCTCTTGGTGAGGTTGTCGACCCACTCTACCCCGGTGGCAGCTTCGACCCATTGGGTCTTGCTGAAGACCCAGAGGCATTTGCTGAGCTCAAGGTAAAGGAGATCAAGAATGGTAGACTTGCTATGTTCTCTATGTTTGGATTCTTCGTTCAAGCCATTGTTACCGGAAAGGGTCCATTGGAGAACCTTGCTGACCACCTTGCAGACCCCGTTAACAACAACGCCTGGTCTTATGCCACAAACTTTGTCCCCGGAAAATGAAAATCTTAAACAATCTTAATATTTCATTGTTTGATGGCCTTGTAAAGTAGTTGTGAGTTACTTAACAATAGAATGGATTATTTTTCTTTAACATTCCAATGATTGTGTAGTACTACTGAGTTACGTTTTGCCAAAGCTATGAATCAAATGTTGCCACTTTCATACCAAAGGATAGTTAAAGAAAGAGAACAGAGCAAAAAAGACAGAAGATACATATTTATGAGATGTGGAAACTAGAAAAACTAAAAAGCTGTGATAAGCTTAAAACTTGAATTTTCAGACCAGAAGAACTTATGGAATTCAATTAACTCTCGAGAAGCAATACTCAAAATTAGAGCAAAGTATTAATGTTGAACAACATGATGTCATTACAGGATTCCTCAATTTTGTCGAGAGGTTAAAGAGGAAATAGAGGACATTATATCATTTCAATACTAGAACATTGACATTTCGATGATAAGGGAAGAAAACCAATAGGTTTTGTAGTCTGAAATGTAGTAACTAGAAACATATAAGTTTCCAGGTCCTTATATTATGAGTCAATAATTTGGTTAGCATCTTCGACATAAATTTCTTATACAATCCTCCTTTCTCACATCTCTGGCAAATCCTTCAACATAGTAATGACCAGAGCCAAAGGACATACTTATATAGTTAGCAGAAGACACAAGTAATGCTATACATGACACTTATTGGCAACAAATTTTAAGTTCTATGCACTAATAACTTAAACAATATTTACACAATCAAATTACTTAGTAAGTAATTAAAGGTAAATTGCTTGATAAACATTAATTGGCAATCTGGTTAAAAATGGGAACTGATCTACTATCACATGTTAAAAACATCTTTACACCGTCAGTGTAGTATAACTTAAATTCACAACTAGTAACTTCTATTTCTCATAACACAGGAAAAATTGTGATACTGATGAATATCAACAAATTAAAATTTGTGCTCATGTCCTTCTGAACAAGCTCTTTCCATGTCTCAGCATATGTTGCTCATGTAGTAGTTAAGTACAGGTACAAAGCCGCGTTAAATCTCTAAACATGAATTAACAGTAGCTTTAATGAGCATAATACAAGATAACGTGTGTGGCTAACATAAACAACTTGTCAATTAAGATCTAATATATTAATAAAGTTTCAATCGCATTGCTTTCCAAACATAAACATGCATTATTAATTTCCCACAATTTATGAATCAAGTAGTAATAAATTTGAACTTCTCCTCAAATTTCCTAAGCTATAGTTCTACATTGAATGAACTTTAATGGTGGTATCTTTTACCCTGAAGGTAGACAAAATTTAGACAAATTCCAAGTGGATAATGATAGGGACATCATATTATAAGCTCAACAAATCACAGGGCAGAGTTCAATCCTTGTGACTACATATGAGAGGACAATATTGGATGTGTCCCTTCTTGGAATTTTGATGGTTTGGAGATTGCTAAATGTGTATTAATTGCTACACAGGGGATCTTGATACCCAATGAGACCATAGATATAGATATCATTAGATAATTTGGACTATTTCCTTCTTAATTACTCCCTATATATAGTGAATTAAGTCCATTGTAATTTCATCTCATCACATTCACAGCCAATATTTCATACCATCAAACACTTACTTTTCTCTTGATATAAATCATGGCAGCTTCTACAATGGCTCTTTCTTCCCCTTCTTTTGCTGGACAGGCAGTCAAACTCTCACCATCTACCTCAGAAATCAGTGGAAATGGAAGGATCACTATGAGAAAGGTGGTAGCCAAGTCTGCCCCATCTAGCAGCCCATGGTATGGTCCTGACCGTGTTAAGTACTTGGGCCCATTCTCTGGTGAGTCTCCAAGCTACTTGACCGGTGAATTCCCTGGTGACTATGGCTGGGATACTGCTGGACTTTCAGCAGACCCTGAAACCTTTGCCAAGAACCGTGAACTAGAGGTGATCCACTGCAGATGGGCTATGCTTGGTGCTCTTGGATGTGTCTTCCCTGAGCTATTGGCCCGTAACGGTGTCAAGTTCGGTGAGGCTGTGTGGTTCAAGGCCGGATCCCAGATCTTCAGCGAGGGTGGACTTGACTACTTGGGCAACCCAAGTTTGGTCCATGCACAAAGCATCTTGGCCATCTGGGCTTGCCAAGTTGTGTTGATGGGAGCCGTTGAAGGTTACCGTATTGCTGGTGGACCTCTTGGTGAGGTTGTCGACCCACTCTACCCTGGTGGCAGCTTCGACCCATTGGGTCTTGCTGAAGACCCAGAGGCATTTTCTGAGCCCAAGGTAAAGGAGATTAAGAACGGTAGACTTGCTATGTTCTCTATGTTTGGATTCTTCGTTCAAGCCATTGTTACCGGAAAGGGTCCATTGGAGAACCTTGCTGACCACCTTGCAGACCCCGTTAACAATAACGCCTGGTCTTATGCCACAAACTTTGTCCCCGGAAATTGAAAATCTTAAACAATCTTAATATTTCATTGTTTGATGGCCTTGTAAAGTTGTAATAGTGAGTTTACTTAACAATAGAATGAATTTTTCTTATATTCCAATTATGGTGTAGTTCTGAATTTCATTTTCCAATGGCATGAATGAAATACTGTCAGATTCATATCAAAGAGGAAAAAAAGATGACAGCTAAAATAAATTAAAAACCAAGATACATTTGGAATGTGGTAAAAGCTTAAAACTTGAATATACAGATCACCAGAGGAACTTATGGAATGTAATCAGTTCTCAAGAAACGATACTCTAACTTAGTTCCAATAATAACAACCTGATGTTATTTACTTACATGATTCCATATTTTTGTTTTGAGAAGTGAAAGAGGATTTAAGAGGACATAATATTATATCACTACTAGACCATTGACATTTTAATGATAAGGGAAAACCAATGTACAGTATGTTTTGTAATCTGAACGTAGCAAGTAATATATGAGTTTCCAGGTCATTATACTTATGTCTCCTTAATCTAGTTAGCATGAACAAATTCATAAACTTCTTTTATATTCCATCCTTACATGCATGTGGTCTTTAGAGAAGAACATGACACATAGCAACGACCAAAGCCAAAAGGACATAGTCAAGCAGAAGATACAAGGAAGCTATACATGCATGACATTTATTAGAGAGGAAATTAAGTTCTCACTGACATCGTAAAAAATACTTATACAATCATATCACTTACTGACAGGGGCAGAGGTAGACTTCAGTGATGAATGGAATGTCCCACATCGGTGAATGAATGGAATCCTGGCCTCCTTATAAGGCACGGGCAGTTCTCTTTACTTTGAGTTAGTTTTTGAGGTTGAGTTACGCTCAAGATCCATTTCATTACATTCAACATACCGGTTTGACAAAACCAAGTGGCTTTGGTCCAACCCATGTATGTTTGTTAAGAAATTCATTAAATATATACAACATTAAATATAGAATCCATTTACTTGCAGGTAAGTAACTACAAGTTTATCTTTTGATAATATGATAAAAATTGCTAAAACATAGTTCTACATTGAATGAGCTGTAGTGCTGATAGATAAAATCTGGAGAAATTTCAAATGGATAATGATAAGAGATATCAGTAGTATAAGCTCAACAACTCAGAGGGTAGAGTTCAATTCTTACAGCCACACATAGGAGGGCAATATTGGATGGGTCCCTTTAGTAATAAACATCTTGGAAATTTGGAGATTGCCAAGTGCATTAATTGCTACACATGGGATCTTGATACCCAATGAGATCATAGATATAGATATCACTAGATAATTAAGGCTCTTTCCCTCTTACCTACTCCCTATATATATGGTGAATTATTTCCCTTGTAACTTCATCTCATCTCAGCAGACTTCAACAATATTTCATACAATCAAACACTTACTTTCTCTTGATATAAGCCATGGCAGCTTCTATGATGGCTCTTTCTTCCCCTTCTTTTGCTGGACAGGCAGTCAAACTCTCACCCTCTGCCTCAGAAATCTCTGGAAATGGAAGGATCACTATGAGAAAGGCTGTCGCCAAGTCTGCCCCATCTAGCAGCCCATGGTATGGCCCTGACCGTGTCAAGTACTTGGGCCCATTCTCTGGTGAGTCCCCAAGCTACTTGACTGGTGAATTCCCTGGTGACTACGGGTGGGATACCGCTGGACTTTCAGCAGACCCTGAAACCTTTGCCAAGAACCGTGAACTCGAGGTGATCCACTGCAGATGGGCTATGCTTGGTGCTCTTGGATGTGTCTTCCCTGAGCTATTGGCCCGTAACGGTGTCAAGTTCGGTGAGGCTGTGTGGTTCAAGGCCGGATCCCAGATCTTCAGCGAGGGTGGACTTGACTACTTGGGCAACCCAAGCTTGGTCCATGCACAGAGCATCTTGGCCATCTGGGCTTGTCAAGTTGTCTTGATGGGAGCCGTTGAAGGTTACCGTATTGCTGGTGGACCTCTTGGTGAGGTTGTCGACCCACTCTACCCTGGTGGCAGCTTCGACCCATTAGGTCTTGCTGATGATCCAGAGGCGTTTGCTGAGCTCAAGGTAAAGGAGATCAAGAACGGTAGACTTGCTATGTTCTCTATGTTTGGATTCTTCGTTCAAGCCATTGTTACCGGAAAGGGTCCATTGGAGAACCTTGCTGACCACCTTGCAGACCCTGTTAACAACAACGCCTGGTCTTATGCCACAAATTTTGTCCCCGGAAAATGAAAATCTTGAACTTTCATTGTTTGATGGCCTTGTAAAGTAGTTGTGAGTTACTTGACAATAGAATGAATTTTTTTTTTTAATATTCCAAATTTCCAATGATTGTGTAGTTCTGAGTTGCATATTCCAAAGCCATGAATAAAAAATATAACCACTTTCATACCAAAGGGGAGAAGAAAGAGAAGAAAGAAAAAATAAGAAAAAATAATTGAAGATACATATGAGAATTGAGATGTGGTAACTAGAGAAACTATAAGCTGTTGTAAGCTTAAAACTTGAATTTTCAGACCAGAGGAACTTATGGAGATCAATTAATTCTTGAGAAGCAAAACTCAAAATTAGTGTAAAGTACTAATATTGAACACCATGACGTTATTACATGATTCCTCATTCTTCTGTGGAGAAGTGATAGAGGAAATAAGAGGACATTGTTTTATTTCACTACCAGAACATTGATGAGAAGGGAAAGCCAATGTGTTTTGTAGTCTGAACATAGTAAGTAATATATGAGTTTGTAGGTCCTTACATTATGTGTCCTGTGAACAAATTCATAAATTTCTTGAAAACCATAATTCCTAACATCTGGTACCATCTTTAGATTAAAAGATCTTTGACAGATCCTTCCAAACAAGGCGCACAGTAATAACCAGAGCCAAAGGACATACTTGTATAGTTAGTTAGCAGAAGAGACAAGTAATGCTATACATGACACTTATTGGCAACAAATTTAATCTCTATGCACTAATAATATAAAAAATATATACAATCAGTTTACATATAAAGTAATTATGGGTAAATCCCTTGATAAACATTACTCCAATTGGTAGTCTCGTAAAAATAGGGAACTGACTCTACTATCACATGTTAAAATTTACGGATACTGTAAAAACATCTTTACACCGTCAGAGTATATAACTTAAATCAACAATTAGTAAATTATATTTCTCTCAAGTCTTAACACAGCCAATATATTGTGATGCTGATGAATTCAAATTAATTAAATTTGTTGCTCATGTTTTTTCTGAACAAGCTCTTTCCAAGTCTCAGCATTGCTCATCTAGCAGTTAAGTACAGGTACTAAGCCACATTAAATCTCTAAACATGAATTAACAATGTCTTCAATGAGCTTAAAACAAGATAGCATGCGTGGCTAACATAAACAACTTTGTTAGTTAAGATCTAGTTTAATAGAGATTTGATCGCATTGCTTTCTGTATAAACATGCATTATTAATTTCCCAAAATTTATGAATAAAGAAGTAATAAATTTCACCTTTTCGTCAAATTTCCTAAACCTTAATTATACATTGAATGAACTATAATGGTGGTATCTTTTACCCTGCAGGAAGACAAAATGTAAAGAAATGCCAAGTGGATAATGATAGGGATATCATATGGTAAGCTCAACAAATCACAGGGCGGGGTTCAATCCTTGTGACCACATATGAAAGGACAATATTGAATGTGTCCCTTCTTGGAAAATTGACGGGTTGGAGATTCAAGTGTGCATTAATTGCTACATATAGGATCTTGATATCCAATGAGATCATAGATATAGATATTACTAGATAAGAAGATTATTTCTCTCTAATTACCTCTTATATATTCTGAACCCAACTAACTTCAGCTTCATCACAACCAACTTTGACATTTCAAACACTCATCACTTTTCTCTTGTTATAAACCATGGCAGCTTCTACAATGGCTCTTTCTTCCCCTTCTTTTGCTGGACAGGCAGTCAAACTCTCACCATCTGCCTCAGAAATCACTGGAAATGGAAGGATCACTATGAGAAAGGCTGTTTCCAAGTCTGCCCCATCTAGCAGCCCATGGTATGGACCAGACCGTGTTAAGTACTTAGGCCCATTCTCTGGTGAGTCCCCAAGCTACTTGACCGGTGAATTCCCTGGTGACTACGGCTGGGATACTGCTGGACTTTCAGCAGACCCTGAAACCTTTGCCAAGAACCGTGAACTCGAGGTGATCCATTGCAGATGGGCTATGCTTGGTGCTCTTGGATGTGTCTTCCCTGAGCTCTTGGCCCGTAACGGTGTCAAGTTTGGTGAGGCTGTGTGGTTCAAAGCTGGATCCCAGATCTTCAGCGAGGGAGGACTTGACTACTTGGGGAACCCAAGCTTGGTCCATGCACAAAGCATCTTGGCCATTTGGGCTTGCCAAGTCGTGTTGATGGGAGCCGTTGAGGGATACCGTATTGCTGGTGGACCTCTTGGTGAGGTTGTCGACCCACTCTACCCTGGTGGCAGCTTTGACCCATTAGGTCTTGCTGATGACCCAGAGGCATTTGCTGAGCTCAAGGTAAAGGAGATTAAGAACGGTAGACTTGCTATGTTCTCTATGTTTGGATTCTTTGTTCAAGCTATTGTCACCGGAAAGGGTCCATTGGAGAACCTTGCTGACCACCTTGCAGATCCAGTTAACAACAATGCCTGGGCCTTCGCCACAAACTTTGTTCCCGGAAAATGAATATCATAAAATGTTCTCAAAGAATATGATTGTTTGATAGCCTTGTAAAGTTGTAATCGTGAGTTTACTAGACAATAGAATGGGATTTTCTTATATTCCAATTATGGTGTTGTCTATAAGTTTACTTTCCAATGGCATGAATGAATCATATCAAAGGGGAAAAAAAAGATGACAGAGCAAAAACAAAAACAAAAACCCAAGATACAATTGGGATGTGGTAAAAGCTTAAAACTTGAACATACAGACCAGAGGAACTAATGGAATTCAATTAATTATCAACAAGAAATACTCTAATTTAGTGCCAAGAATAACATTGAACAGCATTGTGTTATTTATTTACATGATTCCTTATTTTTCTGTCAAGAAGTGAAAGAGGAATTAAGAGGACGTAATATTATTTCACTACTAGACCATTTACATTTCAAAGAAAATGGAAAACCAATGTATAGTATGTTTCGTAATCTGAAGAGAAAAAGCTCAAAATAGTCCCTTATCTTTGAGTTAATGCATGAGTTTCCAGGTCATTATACCTATGTTCCCTTAGTTTATTTAGCATGAACATATTCATAAAGTTCTTGTGTATTTCTCCTTCCTTACATGCATATGGTACAATCTTTAGAGAAGAACATGGCACATAGCAATGACCAGAGCCAAAAGGACATAGTAAGCAGAATATACTAGTAAGCTATACATGCATGACATTTATTAGAGAGGTAATTAAGTTCTCACTGTAAAAAATACTTAAACCATATCACTTATTAACACAGGCAGAGGTAGACTTCAGCGATGAATGGAATGTCCCACATCAGTGAATGAATGAAATCCTGGCCTCCTTATAAGGCTTGGGCAATATTATTTCCTTTAAGCTAGCTTTTGGGGTTGAGTTAGGCTCAAAATCCGTTTTATACATCCAACATTAAATATGTACGACTTACACAACTAAACTTAGAATCCATTTACTAAAAACCAAGTAGTTTTGGTCCACCTCATGTATATGTAAAGAAATAAAGTTCAAATCTTGATCCATCTTTACTTATTAAGTAATTACAGGTTAATCTTTTGATAAACATTAAGTGATAATATAATTAAAATGAATTCCAGCTTTTCCTCAATTTATTTAGTGAAAGATTACATTATAGTTCTAGATTGAATGAGCTATAGTGCTGAAAGATAAAATCTGGAGAAATTACCAATGGATAACTGATAAGAGATATCAGTATTGTAAGCTCAACAAATCACAGGGTAGAGTTCAAGCCACACATAGGAGGACAGTATTGGTTGGGTCCCCCAGTAAACATCCTGGAAACTTGATGGATTAGAGATTGTCAAGTTGCATTAATTGCTACACATGGAATCTTGATACCCAATGAGATCATAGATATGGATATCACTAGATAATTAGGACTCTTTCCCTCTTAATTACTCCCTATATATGGTGAATTAATTCCCTTTGTAACTTCATCTCACCACAGCCAAATTCAACAATATTTCATACCATCAAATTTATATATCGAAATTATAATAAGGGGAGGACTAAATGCAAAAGAGTTTCTTCTTATGAGTTACATTATAAACATTTATCATTTTACTTTTTGTAGTTTTGTTGTAACTCAAATACAATTTTAAAAGAAATTATGTGATTTTTAATAATTCATATTCATCGTTATGGAGTACACATGCAACGCACGTGCCCAGATACTAGTGCCAAGAATAACATTGAACAACATGATGTTATTTACATGATTCCTTATTTTTCTATCTGAGAACTGAGATGATTTAAGTGTACCTAACATTATTTCACTATTACATCATTGACATTTCATTAATGAGGGAAAACCAATGTGTATGTTATGTAATCTGAACGTAGCAAGTAAAAGCATCTATGCGACTGCTTATATAACAGAGGCAGGTATCCTCCAAATATTGCATATATAACGAGTAACGACCAGAGCCAAAATTAAGGAAATAGTAAGCAGAAGATACAAGTAACTGAGTAAGCTATACATGAAAGGAAATTAAGTTCTAAGCATTGACATTGTAAAAATGCTAATGCTCATGTCACTTATTAACAGGGGCAGGGGCAGGGGAAGGGGTAGGCTTCATCATACATGTTTGACAGAACCAATTAAGTAGCTTTGGTTCAAACCATAGTTAAGAAACAAACAAATTAAATAAAAGAATCCATTTACTAGTAATTAAATTAAACATATATAGAATGTTCTATGACTATATATACATCTTCATGACCAAAAGATTTTCAAAAATCCATGCATGGACCTTGGTTAAAAAAAATGATATTCTGCATTGCCTTAGTGTCGCCAAATGCTTTAGTGACTCTTGGATGCAATGACATTAAATCAAAGCTGCTAAATGTTTTTGCGGAAAATCTATTGTCATTGAATGTCTCTTTTGTTGTAGTGATATGTGAATGTCTCTTTTGTTGTAGTGATATGTGAATGTCTCTTTTGTTGTAGTGATATGTGTTAAAGAAATTCTTTACATAAGTACACAAATTAAACTTAGAATCCGTTTACTAGTACTTAAGATCATCGTCCTAGATTTCAGAACCCATAAAGTTCAAATCTTGATCCACCTTTGCTTATTAAGTAATTAGAGGTTAAACGTGAAGTGATAATATGATACAAATGAATTTCAGCTTTTCCTCAATTTATTTAGTGAAAGGCTTAACCATAGTTCTACATTGAATAAACTATAGTGCTGATGGATAAAATTTGGAGAAATTCCCAATGGATAATGATAAGAGATATCAGTATTGTAAGCTCAACAAATCAGAGGGTAGAGTTCAATCCACACATAGGAGGACAATATTGGATGGGTCCCTTTAGTAAACATCTTGGAAAATTGATGGATTGGAGATTGGCAAGATTGCATTAATTGCTACACATATCTAGATACCCAATGAGATCATAGATATAGATGTCATTAGATAATTTGGACTTTTTCCCTCATAACTACTCCCTATATATGGTGAATTAATTCCCTAGTAACTTCATCTCATCACAACCAACTTCAACAATATTTCAAACCCTCAAACACTTTACTTTTCTCTTCAGATAAAACCATGGCAGCTGCTACAATGGCTCTTTCTTCCCCTTCTTTTGCCGGACAGGCAGTGAAGCTTTCACCATCTGCCTCAGAAATTACTGGAAATGGAAGAATCACTATGAGAAAGGCTGTCGCCAAGTCTGCCTCGTCTAGCAGCCCATGGTATGGACCAGACCGTGTTAAGTACTTAGGCCCATTCTCTGGTGAGTCCCCAAGCTACTTGACCGGTGAATTCCCTGGTGACTACGGCTGGGATACTGCTGGACTTTCAGCAGACCCTGAAACCTTTGCCAAGAACCGTGAACTCGAGGTGATCCACTGTAGATGGGCTATGCTTGGTGCTCTTGGATGTGTCTTTCCTGAGCTCTTGGCCCGTAACGGTGTCAAGTTTGGCGAAGCTGTGTGGTTCAAGGCTGGATCCCAAATCTTCAGCGAGGGTGGACTTGACTACTTGGGGAACCCAAGCTTGGTCCATGCACAAAGTATTTTGGCCATCTGGGCTTGCCAAGTTGTGCTGATGGGAGCTGTTGAGGGTTACCGTATTGCTGGTGGGCCTCTTGGTGAGGTTGTCGACCCACTCTACCCCGGTGGCAGTTTTGACCCATTAGGTCTTGCTGATGATCCAGAGGCATTTGCTGAGCTCAAAGTTAAGGAGATTAAGAACGGCAGACTTGCTATGTTCTCTATGTTTGGATTCTTTGTTCAGGCCATTGTTACCGGAAAAGGTCCATTGGAGAACCTCGCTGACCACCTTGCAGATCCAGTCAACAACAATGCCTGGGCCTACGCCACAAACTTTGTTCCCGGAAAATGAATATCAGTAAACATTCCATAAATTTCATTGTTTGATATATAGCCTTGTAAAGTTGTAATTGTGAGTTTACTTGACAACCGAATGGATTTTCTTATATTCCAATTACTCTGTCGTCCTCAATTTAATTTTCCAATGCCATGAATGAAATACTGCCAGTTTCATATCAAAGGGGGAAAAAAAGTAGGCAGTGCAAAAACAAAACACAAGATACATTAGGGATGTGGTAAAAGCTTAAAAGCTTAAAACTGAGTAGAGGAACTTATGGAATTCAATTGATTCTCAAGAAGCAATAATACTCCAACTTAGTGCCAACAATAACTTACATGATTACTTATTTTTCTCTCTGAGAATTGAGATGAATTAAGAGGACATAATATTATTTCACTACTACACCATTGACATTTCAATGATGACGGAAAACCAATGCGTATGTTCTGTAATCTAAATGTAGCAAGTAAAAGCATCTGTATGGCTGCTTATATTACAGAGGCAGGTATCCTCCAAACATGGCATATAACGACCAGAGCCAAAATTAAGGACATAGTAAACAGAAGAAAGCTATACACGATACTTATTATAAAGGAAATTAAGTTCTATGCATTGACATTGTAAAAATACTAATACTCATGTCACTTATTAACAGGGGTAGGGGTAGCCTTCATCATACCGGTTTTCTAGAACTAATTAAGTAGCTTTGGTGCAAACCATATATATGTCCATTTACTAGTACCTAATCCCATGAACAAATGTGTATGCTGTTGTCTGTTGTTACTAGTACCTAAGGTCGTCATCCTAGATCCTAGAACGCATAATGTTCAAATCTGTAATTCCAAGTCTCAGCATTGCTAGCCATGTAGTAGTTCAAATCCACGTACTAACCCCTCGTTGAACCTCTAAAAATGAAATTAACATTGCAACATATATAGAACCTTCAATGACTATATATACCTCTTCATGACCATAAGATTGTAAAAAAGTCCATGCATCGACCTTAGTTAAGAAAACATTTTTTGAAAAGAAGTATGACATTCTACATTGCCTGAATTTGTAAAATCCAAAACCAGTTCTTCACTTTTATTGGAACTCAAATAACTACGATATTGACTCTTGTGCTTATGCTTCATACTAGTTTTGAGCATGTGCGTTGCACGTGTATTCGATGCTAATAGTTTAAACTTCTTAAAACATTAGAAATAACACCAAAACTGAAAGTGAAGGATACATGCTCAATTGATGAATAGTTAAATCGATATTCACTATCATCACAAAGTACATCACACCAAAAGTTGATATCAAATGAAGTTGAAATGATCCCCTTAGTTTTAAGAAAGAAAGAAAAGTTCCTTCAGCATTGTATTCTATTACTTTGATAACTACTACTATAGTTAGCAGTTGTATACAGTCAACAAATTGTATAACGTTTTCTCGTATAGTGCTTTTACTCTATCAAATATTCGACCTAAATGATATTTCAACGACAAATAGTGTGGATATGAGCAACACCACTAATGGTTACAAATACTTCAGGCCTATCAAGTAGTTATTGTCAGATGAAAGTAGTGTTTGTTGAAGTTGTATCAACTTAAGAGAATTGATTTAATATATATAAATCATAAGTGCATGTATAAGTACCCTTTATTTGATTTACTTATATGAGTCATTTAAACTGGAAATTTGGTAGAAAATATTAGTTGAATAATATGTATATTGTATTATAAAATATAATATGACTAAGTCAACATCAATGTATTTTGTGTGAGCATGAAACACCATATAAAAAATAAATTCATATTTCAAATCAAGCCTTCTCAAATTCAAGTGCACCTAGATATCACCATCTCGATTTCTTCTTCCCCATGCAGTCCATCTACCATTTTTGGATCCATGTTTTTATCTTTTAGTTTGTTGTTGCATCTCAAAATCCATAGACTTCTCAAAGGAAGATTATGATAGATAATATAAGTGAAGAAACTAACATAAGTTGGTGTATTTTTATTGAAAAAAAAGATTAATAATACACTAAGCAATGAATTCTTACAAGGAAGAAGCATATATAGTGTTCTATCTTCTTACTTCAAATAGGGATATTACTGACCAAAGGTTAAAACCTATAGAATGTTACTGACTTGTTGAGTTAATTCCTGCAAAAGAAAATAGAAATTAGTGAAAATTGTGCCTTATGCAGTGCAATATAATATCGGAAATAAACCATCTCCATGCCATCTTTTGCCAACGTCTTCTGTTCTATAGTTCAAAGTACACTTCTTGTGCCTTGAACTCACTCAACCTTAAATTGCCAAATTTAAGAGCATATATATAATTTGATATGGTTGGAATAATGCAACAAATGTGGGGTGATTGAAGAGATTTAAGGTGTTATAAATATTTGTAAAATTTAGTATAGCCATTTAAAGTGCAAGTTGAAATTGATTGACAATGAACCTATTTGAATGACTTGATTATTGCATATATGGAAAATGATTGTCCAAACCTGTAAATTTGAGCATTTAAATATAGTTAGTAGGTAGACTGTAAAATAAATTATAACTTAAAGCTAGTAGATGCAACTTATAGTAATTCAAAAGGTCATAGCCATTGAATTTTAACATTTTTGTCGAGTAAGAAATAAAAACAACAATAAAAAGTTTTGAAATATGTTTATCGAAATCAATAAATAAAAGTAGTGACATAAATATTTTTCATACGAACTCTAGATAAATGAAGTACGATCCTTACCTATTTGCTGCAAATGTTGCTGGCTGACCAAGTAAACCAAATCAAAAGAGCAATGATTGCTTCATGGAAAAAAAATATAGTCCACAACTTACAAAAAATATGAAAAAGGCTAAAGTCAAGTGAGAATCATCTATGATTATAACGTTAATAGTAATGTCAAGAACTTAGGCCTTCTTATATAAATTCTATAAAGAGAATATTTTTCCACCATTAATCCAGGGAATTTGAAAAGACCAAAAATGAATGATATTATCATATGAATGAATTAATGAATAAATTAATATCAACCCTTCCTCTTCTTTTAGTTTTAAATCTGTAGTAATTACAATGACAACATTGTCTTTTCATATGATGATAATATCATTAGTATTAATTAGTATACTACGGTCAGTTTATTGTTTAATAATTTGATATTTAATTAATTATACATTTTATGAAGAGATTTTTGGATTATTATTATTAATAATTTATTATTATATACATATAGACTATAGATGATAAATATGTATTAAATTAGATATTTTAATTAGGAATTAATCTAAGGTAGTGCAAAAGTCATTAACATATTAATTAAAATGATATAATTTAATATTTAAATTAAATAATTAAATGTTTTATAATATTTTAATTTATAATAGGGGTAAAATCGTAATTCAACTTTTAACTTTTTTGTTCCCGCTTGTAGTAATATATATGATATATGATGATATGATTATAAGGGAAAAGCATAAACCAAGATAAATTGTGTGGCTAACTTTAGTGACTTTATTAAAATCCAATAGTAAATTAGTTTCAATAGCTTGGCTTTACATGCAATATTAATTTCCCACACAATTGAATGAGCTATAGTGGTGGTAATACCAGCTTTAGATAGAATCTGGTGAAATTCTCAATGGATAATGATAAGAGATATCACATTGTACGCTCAACAAATCGAAATAATAGAGTTCAAGACCACATATGAGAGGAGAACATTGGTTGGGTCCCTTTAGCAAACATCTTAGAAAATGATTGCCAAGTGTGTATTAATTGCTACACATGGGATCTTGATACCCAATGAAATCATAAATATAGATATCACTAGATAAGGACTCTTTCCCTATATATGGTGAATTAATTCCCTTGTAACTTCATCTCATAACAGCCAATTTCAACAATATTTCAATTTTCATACCGTCAAACAATTACTTTGTTCTCTTGATATAAGCACCATGGCAGCTTCTACAATGGCTCTTTCTTCCCCTTCTTTTGCTGGGCAGGCAGTTAAACTCTCACCATCTGCCTCAGAAATCTCTGGAAATGGAAGGATCTCTATGAGAAAGGCCGTCGCCAAGTCTACCTCATCTAGCAGCCCATGGTATGGCCCTGACCGTGTTAAGTACTTGGGACCATTCTCTGGTGAGTCCCCAAGCTACTTGACCGGTGAATTCCCTGGTGACTACGGGTGGGATACCGCTGGACTCTCAGCAGACCCTGAAACCTTTGCCAAGAACCGTGAACTCGAGGTGATCCACTGCAGATGGGCTATGCTTGGTGCTCTTGGATGTGTCTTCCCTGAGCTCTTGGCCCGTAATGGTGTCAAATTTGGTGAGGCTGTGTGGTTCAAGGCTGGATCCCAAATCTTCAGCGAGGGTGGACTTGACTACTTAGGAAACCCAAGCTTGGTCCATGCACAGAGCATCTTGGCCATCTGGGCTTGCCAAGTTGTCTTGATGGGAGCTGTTGAAGGTTACCGTATTGCTGGTGGACCTCTTGGTGAGGTTGTCGACCCACTCTACCCTGGTGGCAGCTTTGACCCATTAGGCCTTGCTGATGATCCAGAGGCATTTGCTGAGCTCAAGGTAAAGGAGATCAAGAACGGCAGACTTGCTATGTTCTCTATGTTTGGATTCTTTGTTCAGGCCATTGTTACTGGAAAGGGTCCATTGGAGAACCTCGCTGACCACCTTGCAGACCCAGTCAACAACAACGCCTGGTCTTACGCCACAAACTTTGTTCCCGGAAAATGAGTATCATAAAACTTTCTCAAAAAGTTTGATTGTTTGATGGCCTTTAAAATTGTAATTGTGAGTTAACTAGACAATAGAATGGATTTTTCTTATATTCCAATTATGGTGTAGTCTATAATTTTACTTTCCAATGGCATGAATGAAATACTGCAAGTTCATATCGAAGGGGAAAAAAAGATGACTGAGCAGAAAAAAAAAACAAGATACAATTGGGATGTGGTAAAAGCTTAAAACTTGAATATACAGACCACCAGAGGAACTTATGGAATGCAATCCCTTCTCAGGAAGTGATACTCTAACTTAGGGCCAAGAATAAAATGATGCTATTAACATGATTCCTTACTTTTCTGTCGAGAAGTGAGCTGAATTAAGAGGACATATGTTAATTCACTACTACGTACGCCACTGACATTTCAATGATGAGGGAAAACCAATGTATATGTTTTGTAATCAGAAGGCATCAAGAACTCTCTCCATTTCAATTTATTCGTCTTACTCTTCTTTTTAAGTCTCTTTAAGAAAGAATGTTTCACTCCTTATTCGAGAATTCCTTAATTTCAACTTTTCACATAACCTGTGTAAGGCCACAAGAGTAAATAACGTTTTAATACATTCTATATATCTTTAGTTTAAAACCACAAGATTCACGAGTTTCTTTTACTTTCTTAAATTCCGTGTTAAGTCAAATCTGGACAAACAAATTAAAACGATCTGTGTGACAGCTTACATAGCAGAGGCAGGTACCGTTCCAAACATGGCACATAGTATTAACAGAACCAAAAGGACATAGTAAGCAGAAATATACATGACACTATAGAAAGGAAATTAAGTTCTATGCATTAACATTGTCAATAATACTTACACAATCATATCACTTATTAATATGGACGCACAGAGGTAGCCTTCAGCATACCGGTTTGACAGAACCAAATAGCTTTGACTTGAACCATGTATGTGTTAACAAATTCACTAAATATGTATACATATTAAATTTAGAATTCATTTACTAATACTTCAGGTCGTTGTCCTAGATTCTAGAACTCATAAAGTTCAAATCTTGATCCACCTTTGCTTGTTAAGTAATTACAAGTTAATCTTTTGATAAAACAACAATAACAACATACCCAATGTTATTCCACAAGTGAGGTCTGGGGAGGGTAACCCCTACCATAGTTCTACATTGAATGACCAATGGATAATGATAAGAGATAACAGTATTGTAAGCTCAACAAATCACAGAGTAGAGTTCAAGCCACACAAAGGAGGACAATATTGGATGGGTCCCTTTAGTAAACATCTTGGAAGATTGATGGATTGGAGATTGGCAAGATTGCATTAATTGCTACACATATCTAGATACCCAATGAGATCATAGATATAGATATCATTAGATAATTTGGACTTTTTCCCTCTTAACTACTCCCTATATATGGTGAAATAATTCCCTAGTAACTTCATCTCATCACAACCAACTTCAACAATATTTCAAACCCTCCAACACTTTTCTCTTCAGATAAAACCATGGCAGCTGCTACAATGGCTCTTTCTTCCCCTTCTTTTGCAGGACAGGCAGTGAAGCTTTCACCATCTGCCTCAGAAATTACTGGAAATGGAAGGATCACTATGAGAAAGGCGGTCGCCAAGTCTGCCTCGTCTAGCAGCCCATGGTATGGACCAGACCGTGTTAAGTACTTGGGACCATTCTCTGGTGATTCCCCAAGCTACTTGACAGGTGAATTCCCTGGTGACTACGGGTGGGATACCGCTGGACTTTCAGCAGACCCTGAAACCTTTGCCAAGAACCGTGAACTAGAGGTGATCCACTGCAGATGGGCAATGCTTGGTGCTCTTGGATGTGTCTTCCCTGAGCTCTTGGCCAGGAATGGTGTCAAGTTCGGTGAGGCTGTGTGGTTCAAGGCCGGATCCCAAATCTTCAGTGAAGGTGGACTTGACTACTTGGGCAACCCAAGCTTGGTCCATGCACAAAGCATCTTGGCCATCTGGGCATGCCAAGTTGTGCTGATGGGAGCTGTTGAGGGATACCGTATTGCTGGTGGGCCTCTTGGTGAGGTTGTCGACCCACTATACCCCGGTGGCAGCTTTGACCCATTAGGTCTTGCTGATGATCCAGAGGCATTTGCTGAGCTCAAGGTAAAGGAGATTAAGAACGGTAGACTTGCTATGTTCTCTATGTTCGGATTCTTTGTTCAAGCCATTGTTACTGGAAAGGGTCCATTGGAAAACCTTGCAGATCACCTTGCAGACCCAGTTAACAACAACGCCTGGTCCTACGCCACAAACTTTGTCCCCGGAAAATAAAAATCTTAAAACATTCTCAAGTTTCTGATCATTTGATGACCATGTAAAGTTGTAATTTGTGAGTTTACTTGATAATAGAATGATTTTTTCTTATATCCTATTCCAGTTATGGTGTAGTCCTGAATTCCATTTTCCAATGGCATGAATGAAATGCTGCAAGTTTCATATCAAAGGGGAAAAACAGGTGACTGTTCAAAAAAAAACAATATACATTTGGGATGTGGTAAAAGCTCAAAACATGATTCCTTATTTTTGAGTTGAGAAGTGAGATGAATTAAGAGGACCTATGTTATTTCACTACTACGTGCGCCATTGACATATCAATGATAAGGGAAAACCAATGTATATGTTTTGTCTTCAGAACGCAGCAAGTATTCTCTTTGTTTCAATTTAATCGTCTTACTTTCTTTTTTGACAATACCTTGTTTCAACTTTTCACTTAACATGGTTAAGACCACAAGATTAAATAACGTTTTGGTACATTATACTTATTTTTAGTTTAAGACCATAAGATTCAAAACTGTTCTTTACTTTCTTAAATTCCATAACAAGTCAAAACTAGACAAACAAATTAAAATGGAGTGAGTAATATATACGAGTTTCCAGATCATTAATATACTGATATGTCGTTAATTTAATTAGCATCTTTCATTTGAACAAATTCATAAATTTCTTGTATAGTCATCCTTCCTTGCATACATGTGGTACTATCTTTAGAGTAAAAGCATCTGTGTGACAGCTTATATAACAGAGGCAGGTATCCTTCCAAACATGGTACATAATGATCAGAGCCAAAAGGACACATAGTAAGCAGATACATGACACTATGAAAAGGAAATTAAGTTTTATGCATTAACATTGTCAAAAATACTTGCACAATCATATCACTTATTACGGAGGCACACAGAGGTAGCCTTCAGCATACCGGTTTGACAGAACCAAATAGCTTTGGCTTAAACCAAAGGACACATAGTAAGCAGATACATGACACTATGAAAAGGAAATTAAGTTTTATGCATTAACATTGTCAAAAATACTTGCACAATCATATCACTTATTACGGAGGCACACAGAGGTAGCCTTCAGCATACCGATTTGACAGAACCAAATAGCTTTGGCTTAAACCATGTATATTTGTTAAGAAATTCATTAAATATGTATACAACATTACTAATACTTGAGGTTGTTGTCCTAGATTCTACAACTCATAAAGTTCAAATCTTGATTAGTCTTTCCTTGTTAAGTAATTACAAGTTAATCTTTTGATAAACAACACAAACAACAAATAGAATGTAATCCCATAAGTAATGTCTGGGGAGGGTAATGTGTTAGGCAGACCTTACCCTACATTAAGTGATATATAGTGCTGTTAGATAAAATCTGGAGAAATTTCCAATGGATAATGATAAGAGATATCATACTGTAAGCTCAACAAATCACAGAATAGAGTTCAAGCCTTGTAACCACTTATAGATGGAAAACATTAGTTGGGTCCCCCTGTAAACATCCTAGAAAATTGATGGACTAGAGATTGCCAAGTTGCATTACTTGCTATACATGGGATCTTGATACCCAATGAGATCATAAATATAGATATCACTAGATAAGGACTCTTTCCCTCTTACTCCCTATATATGGTGAATAATTCCCTTGTAACTTCAACTCATCACAGCAAACTTCAACAATTTACCATCAAACACTTACTTTTCTCTTGATATAAACACAATGGCAGCTGCTACAATGGCTCTTTCTTCCCCTTCTTTTGCTGGACAGGCAGTCAAACTTTCACCATCTGCCTCAGAAATCTCTGGAAATGGAAGGATCACTATGAGAAAGGCTGTCGCCAAGTCTGCCCCATCTAGCAGCCCATGGTATGGTCCAGACCGTGTTAAGTACTTGGGTCCATTCTCTGGTGAGTCCCCAAGCTACTTGACCGGTGAATTCCCTGGTGACTATGGGTGGGACACCGCTGGACTTTCAGCAGATCCAGAAACCTTTGCCAAGAACCGTGAACTCGAGGTGATCCACTGCAGATGGGCTATGCTTGGTGCTCTTGGATGTGTCTTCCCTGAGCTCTTGGCCCGTAACGGTGTCAAGTTTGGTGAGGCTGTGTGGTTCAAGGCTGGATCCCAAATCTTCAGCGAGGGTGGACTTGACTACTTGGGCAACCCAAGCTTGGTCCATGCTCAAAGCATCTTGGCCATTTGGGCTTGCCAAGTTGTGTTGATGGGAGCCGTTGAGGGATACCGTATTGCAGGTGGACCTCTTGGTGAGGTTGTGGACCCACTATACCCCGGTGGAAGCTTTGACCCATTGGGTCTTGCTGATGACCCAGAGGCATTTGCTGAGCTCAAGGTAAAGGAGATCAAGAACGGCAGACTTGCTATGTTCTCTATGTTTGGATTCTTTGTTCAAGCCATTGTTACCGGAAAGGGTCCATTGGAGAACCTTGCTGATCACCTTGCAGACCCAGTAAACAACAACGCCTGGGCCTTCGCCACAAACTTTGTTCCCGGAAAGTGAAGATCTCAAATTTTCATGTAAAGTTGTTGTGAATGAGTTGACAATAGAATGGATTTTTCTTATATTCCAATGATTTTTAGTCCTGAATTTTCATTTTCTAAACCCACGATACGAATCAAACACTAAAACTTTCATTCCAAAAAGAAAAGAAATAGAATAAAGCCCTAATGAACACTTTTGAGGATATGGTAATTAAAAAACCACAGTAAAGGTGTTTATAGCTTAAAACTTCAATTTGTAGAACAGAGCATGTTTATTAGGTACATCGTCTATGCAATGTTTGAGCTATTAACACACACATATATACGGACAATAACAACAAACAGGTAGTATATTGTTTGCTTAAAAGTTAACCTTATAAATTACCTTAATTTCCAGTTCGAAAAACTCTGCAGATTTTTATGCCAAAGCGCTGAAAATTGTAGCCCGATTAAATTTTTCCATTATCACGTACACTGGTGTATAGTGATCATTATGACTATTGACTAATGTCTCTTCATGACCATGAGATTAACTAACAAAAATCTATTCAAGGATCTATGTTAAAAGAAAGAAAGAAAGAAAAAGGATGGTGTATTGGTGCTATTTGCTTGGACTCTTCAAAAATGTCAATAGGTGTGTCGGATTCTCAGTATTTTTGGTGAATCCGATACGAATGTTGTATTCTTAAATTTGTAAAATCCAAAAACCAATATCTTCACTTTATGTGAATTAGAACTTATGCTCAGACCATAATTTTTACCAAGGGGATTCAAAATGTGAAAATAGAAAAGAAGTAAACGACATAAAAAAGTCTAAGGGGAATTCAACTATATAATATATAATTATAATTAACCATGTATAAATAGTATAATTTTCTGCCAAAAGAGGTTTGGATGAAGTCTTCGACTCTACTTGGCTCTGCCCCTGCTTATGCTGATGAGTAGTATATATATTATTACTGGGAAGCATATAATCTGACTTACTTTGAAAAGGTCCGATGTTGAAGTTTTTTTAGTACTTTTTTGGGACGGATTCCCGGAAGAAATTAAATATATTCAGAAAATAGATATCTGAAATTAAGGTATTTTCATTTGTTTTTTTTTTATTAACTAGGAAAGAATATATTTGGAGCGAATATCACCTGTTAATCTCATTGCTTTTTGCAATCATAATTAAGCATGCAAATTGCAATTTTAATTTCCCACAATTTGCAAGTGTTGAGTAATGACAATATCTGGCAAGGCCCACGAGGGGCTGGATCGGAGTCATGATCGAACATGGTGCTTGTTTGGTGGACTTAGTTAAGAAATAAAGTTGTGTTTTTACTATCAGCTATAGCTTTTGGCATGATGGTAAGCATTTGATTCTAACGGTAAGTCAAATACTAATTCATTTCAAATTTTCATGCTCTTACTAAGCTGACTAATAAACTGTAAAACCAGGGAGAATAGATGCATCAAAAAACATCACGAATGATCCTACATTGACTGAGCTATCTGTAGAAACAGTTGGTGTCTTTTATCCTGCTGGTGGAGGTGTCATATTGTAAACTCACAAGATAGATAGAGTGAAATCCTTGTAGCCATACATAGGAGGACAACTTTGGTTGGTCCCCCCTTGTAAAATCATGGAAAGTTGATGGATTGGAGATTGCCAAGTGTGCTACACATGGAATCTTGATAGCCAATGAGATCATAGATATAGATATCACTTGATAAGATGATTCTCTCTCTTTCCTCCTATTTATTCTCAACCCCAACTAACTTCATCTTCATCACACCCAACTTTCAACATTTCATACCATCAAACACTTACTTTTTTCTTAATATAAAACACAATGGCAGCTGCTACAATGGCTCTTTCTTCCCCTTCTTTTGCTGGACAAGCAGTGAAACTCTCACCATCTGCCTCAGAAATCTCTGGAAATGGAAGGATCACTATGAGAAAGGCTGTCGCCAAGTCTGCCCCATCTAGCAGCCCATGGTATGGCCCTGACCGTGTTAAGTACTTGGGCCCATTCTCTGGTGAGTCCCCAAGCTACTTGACTGGTGAATTCCCTGGTGATTACGGCTGGGATACCGCTGGACTTTCAGCAGACCCTGAAACTTTTGCCAAGAATCGTGAACTTGAGGTGATCCACTGTAGATGGGCTATGCTTGGTGCTCTTGGATGTGTCTTCCCTGAGCTCTTGGCCCGTAACGGTGTCAAGTTTGGTGAGGCTGTGTGGTTCAAGGCCGGATCTCAGATCTTCAGTGAAGGTGGACTTGATTACTTGGGTAATCCAAGCTTGGTCCATGCACAGAGCATCTTGGCCATCTGGGCTTGCCAAGTTGTGTTGATGGGAGCCGTTGAGGGATACCGTATTGCCGGTGGACCTCTTGGTGAGGTCGTCGACCCACTCTACCCTGGTGGAAGCTTTGACCCATTAGGTCTTGCTGATGATCCAGAGGCATTTGCTGAGCTCAAAGTAAAGGAGATTAAGAACGGTAGACTGGCTATGTTCTCTATGTTTGGATTCTTCGTTCAAGCCATTGTTACCGGAAAGGGTCCATTGGAGAACCTTGCTGATC